GGAAGGAGGACCGAACATCAGAGGTTTGGCCAAAGGAAGCTCCTTATCTGGAGCATTGAGGGAAGCAAACCATTGATGCTTAACATTTTCACAGCTGAATGAATTATATGCCTTTCACTTTCCTTGTGTTGGAATAACCTTTTAGTTTGTCTTTCAAATGGCTAATTTTATTTGTGCAAATATATATTCCTACCTTAACTCCTTGGCGTCAGTAACAAGGCAAGATTTACATACACAAGATAAGTTATTCTAGCTGAGTGGTGCACCTTTTCCAAAGTCTTTCCTAGAGTAAATATCAAAGCAAAATGCCTAAAAACAATCAGCTGCCTTTAAAAGGGTAAATTTTGGGCACCTGGGTGGCTCAGTCAGTTAAGCATCTGCCTTCGGCTCAGGTCATGATGCCAGGGTCCTGGGATCGAGCCCTCCATCGGGCTCCCCGCTCAGTGGGAAGTCGGCTTCTCCGTCTGCCCCTCTCCTTGTGTTCTTGTGCGCACGCTCTCTTTCTCTCTCAAATAAAATTTTTAAATAAAAGGGTAAACTTTACGGTATGTGATTTATATAAAAATTATATATATGGAAAGGAGACAAGGAGAAAAAATAAAATCAGTTGCCTCAGAACATCAATTCCTAAAAGCAAGACATAACATCGGTGTCTACAGGCATATAGAATGTATACAATTTCTCTAGACAGTCTGGAAAACACAGTAACCACTGTTAAAGTTTCAGCCACGCATAATACCTAACTAAAGAGGATCTGTTGCTTGGTGAGATTCTCCTCCAGAGCAAGCATTTGCTTTCAGTTCCCAGCATGAGATGCAGTTTTCCTTGGAGGTGGCAATTAGAAATCTGCAAGATGTTTAAAGCAGCACAGCAGCCAACACAAAAGGCCACGGTTGTCTCCCTGTATCTGCTGGACGCCAGGAACAGTCTCTACCAGTCTGTAGAGGTGCGACCAGTAGAGAATTTTCTCGTTTCCGCTACTCTCGATGGTCTCATCCATGGATTCAAGGAACCACAGGTGAGCTCATCTAACCTCTAGTCCAACACTGGATCCTCCTTTTGCCAGTGTGAAGCCCCTGCTTGAAAAAGAACTTGGGGCACCTGGCTGACTCGGTGGAGCTTGCAACTCGACCTCAGGGTCATGAGTTCAAGCCCCATATTGGGTATAGCGATTACTTAAATAATCATTATAAAAAAATAACTCATTATCCCCAAAGTAACCTAGTCTATCGTCGGACAGTCTTAATTGTTGGATAATGCTGCCTTTTACTGAGCCAAAATCAGCCTCCTTTTATGAGGCTCAGGGTCAGGCTCCAGCCTACTAAGATCCCCAGGTCCCAGGACCCTGGCATCATGACCAGCCTACTTTTCACCCTGAAAAGTTATTTGTTTTTGAGCTATAAGCTGATTTAGTTTTCAGACAACCACCTTTTACTCTCCAGCTTTAGAGATATAATTCTTTTGAGATTTTTAATTTTAAGTAATCTCTACACTCAGCGTGGGGTTCAAACTTACAACCCCAAGATCAAGAGCTGCAAGCTGTACCAACTGAGCCAGCCAGGTGCTCCTAGAGATATAATTCTAATTTAGGATTCCAATTCTTTTCTTTTTTCTGGATTTCAATTCTTCTCTTAACTGGCCATTCTGTAAGTGTATGACTTCATTTGCTGCCTATTTTGCCTCTTCAATCACCAGACATTTGGCCAAGCTTGACTTCACCAAAGTCACCATTTCAGTCCTTTGCATTCATTTCCATTTTATTTTTGTTTTGCTTTAGAGAAGAGTGTATGCACGTGTGCGCAAGGCTGGGGATGGGATGTGGGCGGGGGGGAGGGGCAGAGGGAGAGGGAGAATCTCAAGCAGGTTCCACATCCAGTGCAAAGTTCAATGTGGGGCTCCATCTCAGGACCCCGAGATCATGACCTGAGCCGAAATCAAGAGTTGGATGCTAAACCGACCAAACCACCCAGGCATCCCAACTATTTCTTTTTTAAAGTAATCTCTACGCCCAACATGGAGCTCAAACTCACAACAGAGATCAAGAGTTGTGTGCTCGAATGACTGAGCCACCCAGGTGCCCCTGAATTTCAATTTTAATGTCGCCAAAGCCAATGTTTCCAAAGATGATTTACCTGGACATATACTATTTTTATTGTAAAATATATTTACTTTCATGGATTTTTGTTTTGTTTTGGCAAATAATATGAAGTGTTCCAAAGTCCCCTCCCCAATTATCAGTAAGCAATTTCGGTATGCACCTCTAAAAGAACTTTTTTTTTTTAAGATTATTTATTTATTTATTCGACACAAAGAGAGAGCACAAACAGGGGGTGCAGCAGGCAGGCAGAGGGAGAAGCAGACTTTCCTCTGAGCAGAGTCCAGTGTGGAACTCAATCCGAGGACCCCAGGATCATGACCTGAGCCCAAGGCAGATGCTTAAGCAACTGAGCCACCCAGGTGCCCCTAAAGATTTTATTTATTTATTTGACAGAGAGACACAGCAAGAGAGAGA